AGCGAAGTACTTCTTTGATACCACAGCAAATACTACTAGATTAACTAAGAAAGTTTAAACCTGATTAAAGAGACAAGAGAACAGCCAGTAAAAATAAGAACAAATACACAAATTACAAGCATAGATAAATACAGCAGAATATGTTACAATTAAAATAAGGTTGGTAGTATTCAAATACAGAAATGTAATAATTAGGGAAAATAACACTGCATAGTGTTCACTGCATTAATTAAATATAGATTTTTATCACAGCTCTTTTGTTGTTTGATGATCATTAATGACAGCAGCAGTATTTATAGGCTGCTGTCCCTTTAAGACCTGATGCACGAATCCGATATAATGATACACATCACATCTGATTTCTTTCTCAGCTGTTTTCATTCACTTGAGACATAACTGACTGCGCTTACCTGAATGATTGTCAAGATGGTTATTTTGTCATCATTTTATGTGTGTGTCTGTTCAGAGGATTCAGAAGAGGATTCAGTTCGGTGTTCGCACGCTATCTGAAACGTGTGTTCGTGCTTCATGTGTGTGCGGCTGTGCGCGTAGAGAATAGCGCGCGAGTAACGAATCAAGTTCTCTTTCACCTTTTCTCTCTGGAATAGTTTAAAATTCGCTTGCTTTTGTAAATACGAACAAATAATAAACTTATACTCTATTATGGTTAAATTTCAACTACGATCCGTTTAACCACTACTATCATAACATTTAGGCCTGTATGTTTATATAAAGTTATCTATCAGGGTGAATCTCTCTGAACTGAAGAATTATCCAGGTCATGGTTCACCCCAAATTCAAAAGGCAAAAAAACAAAACAAAACCTACAGCAATGCAAAATAATAAGAATAGTAGTAATAATTGTTTAATATCAAAATTACTATTAAGTATTTTTGGTAGTTTTTCTTGTACTAAATTTATGTAGGAATTCAATGTTCTTATTTTACTTATTTAATCATGCATCTTTATTTGATTTTGTCAAAGAGTTTTTTTTCTCCGTATTTTGATTTTGGGATTTCTTCATGAAAGTACCCGTAGTATATATATTTCTCCTGCTCACGCTCCACACGTCCCGGCTTTCTGAATGTTCTCTTTCACACTATTATTATTTTCTGCAATATGTTATCAGATGGAAATTAGGCTTTAGAACTAAAGTGTGTATGGATGAGTGGTTTGCTAGCTATTATGTTAGATGGACTTCTTTAGAGCTATGAACTAGGTCTATATAGACTATTTTAAACCATGTCATTTTTGCAATGGCTTTGTTCATAACCCTGTGTACTTTACTTGTGTCACAGTAAAATGTTACCATTTAAAACTTTAGATTCAACAGATAGCACTTTGTTTTTGTTAGCATTCACTAACTAGCGCTTGAACTTTTACATGTCCTTTGCTTTATACTCTGCTGTACTTGCAGATGGTGTCTCATTTAGAGTGTTTTAACAGTTTGATAATATATGGTCTATCTTTTTTATATGATTTCTGCACTTTTAGGGCCTTTGAGCAGTCTTATCTGTTACACCAGATGTCTGTCAGGCTCACTTTTTCTATTTTGTTCTCATTTTCTCAGAGGGGTTTTACCTGCCAGTTTCAGTGCACTCCCAGTCTGCAATGGCCAGGAGCCCAGTGGCTCACATGCCCGGTTCCTTCTCCAGGGAAAAGGAGGCCCTGCCTCCTCACAAAAGCTCTAAAGACTCAAGTAGGGATCTGGGAAAAGAGAAGCCCAGTAAGAGTGACCTCGGTCACTCCCTCCCAAGGAAGGAACGAGAACGGTCAAAAGAGGAGTCACGGCCCCACAGTGTGGTGGACCTCACCTTGGATGTCAAGGCGGAAGACGAGCGTAGAGTGAGCAACTCTGAGAGGTCTGCGAAAACTGTGGAGCACGCTCTGCCTTTCTCTTACCAGCACTCGCCTGCTCTGAGCACCACGGACACTAAACCCAAACAGTCTCACCTGAGTTTACGAGGCAACTGCGGGACAAGCAGCAGCACACCAACCCGACACCCGAGTACAGAACAGGACAGGAGGGACAGTGACCGGGATGACGAAACCAGCCGACCGTTGAGCCACCTTTCCTCCGACAAGCAGAAAAGAAGTGATTCGGTTGCTACATCAGCTGGCACTCTGCATGTGTCGTATGCCGGTCCCTCTTCCCTGCAGCCCAACCCAACCCATCTCCCACCCAGGCTGTTGTCCTCTGGCACCTACCCTCCCCCTCACCACATGCCGCCCAGCATGTACCCGCTCTACTCTACAGCAAAAGAGCCAGGCAAAGAACACAGAGTGATAGCTCCTACTTATGTGCCTTCTGTCGAGGTTTACGACGAGC